TTTTTTATTAAGAGCAAATATTTCATCTTTTTCTTCTTGATTATATGCATTTTGAAAATTTTGACAATTTTTAAAATAAGTAAGTATTCTTTCAATTTTATCTATTATAGTTTTTAATTCTAAATGGTTTTCACCAAGTTTGATAAAACAAACTTTATAATAACATAAGTTGTTACTAAAACTACTTTTTTTTTTGTTTTAATAATAAAGTTTCTTAAATTTTGAACTATTTTATTTTTTATAAATTTAAATGAATTGAACATTAAATGATGTACTAAATGTACTAAAATATACTAAAATTGTATTAAAATTGTACTTCTCACTAAATATATAATTGTATTACTGTACTAAGTATAGTAGTATAATATACTAGTACTATACTTATACGAATATTATATTCATACACTGTACTTTTCTAATCCTGGTTATACTAGTTCTTTAGATCATTTTGTTAAGATAAGTAATATATTTACAATTGCAAAAGACTTTCTTTATAAAGAAGATAAGATAAATAATTAAAAATTTATAAGTATAAAAAAAGTACAATAAATACATATAGGATAAATAATTAATAAAAAATATAATACTGTCTCTATCAGCATATCTGTATTAAACAATTTATTTATTAAAAGATTTATTACTATAAAACTGATATAAAATAAACTTAAAAAGATCTAAGAAAACCTTCTATTTATATAAAAACTATTTATATAATGTTATAACAATTTAAATAAAAAATAAAGAAAATTAAGATAATAAATAAAATAGATAAAATGAATTAAGTAACTAATTTAAAATATTACTAATTCTTTAAAAACAATTTTTTCAATTAATAGTATAAAATATTAAAAAATGATTTAATTTAGATTTTTATTATTCAATATGGATTTTGATGCATAGCAATTACTTTTACCTTAAACTTTGATAGATAATATAATATAAAAAAAATTGAATTTATTAAAGAATTTTATGAAAAGCAAAAAACTAATTAATCAAAATGATGATAATATTTATGAATTATTAACAAAACAGAACTAAAAAAAAGAAATAGATAATTATATTATTACAAATTATAATTTAAATTAATCCAATAATAGTTTAGAATTTTTAATTTATTATATAAAATATTAAATAATTTTAATATTATAATCAAATTTATTTAATAATATAAATTTTTTTTTTTTTTTTACTATTATTAACATTTTTTTTTCTTTTAGCATTTCTTATTAATTAAATTATTAATCTTTTTAACTTGTATTTTTACTTTTATTTTAAAAACATTTAATTATTAGATTGGATAATTTAACCTATTAGTATGATATTCAAATCAGGTTAAATCAATTTTATAATTTATTTAAGTCAATATTTGTAAACCTAATTTGAATTTCTTAATTCAAGGTTAAGTTAATAAAATCTAACAATATATGTTGTCAACAATTTCTGATTTGGGTAAATAATTATTATTTTAGAGAAAATTCATATATGCTAGTGCGGACTTAATAGATTTAAATGAAGTTGGATATACAAATTCTGTTTAAATCTATTACACTAATTCTTCATGATTCTTTAATGTAGAATCCAAAAATTATTACGGACTTCTCATATCAGTAGATGAATTTTATATCAAATCCCGATGATTACGGTATTTATTTATAAAATATTGCGTAATAAAGTGCACAATCAATTTAAAGAAAATTAAAAAATACATATAATAACTATATACTTATAACATTATAAATTTTTGTTGTTGTTTTTTTTTTTTTTAAATTCCTTGAACCACCGAGGGCCATTCACGTCGAATTCTCTCAAATAATATTGGTTTAGTTCGCCTTAATGCATCAGGATCTTCAGCCAAAGCAACAAATGTAGTTGCAACACCAGAATCAATAGCATCCGTAACAACGATCTGTAAAATTAAAGAATTGCATGTTAATAATCTAAATTAATAAATCAGTCTTTTTTTTTTAATTGCTAAAGCTAATTTATATTTACCGTCATCATCAAACCAAGGATAAAGCAAATTACAACAAGGATCAAAGTTAATGTTCCATTATCTTTCATGTCTTTAAGGAATAGACTAATATAACCGTAACCAAATAATGCACAAAGAACACCAATAAATATAGCCCCCATTGTGAGTACATTTCCAATGAGATTATCATTAATGATGGCTTCAACACCACGATTCTTTATTAATTTCCAAGTATCTTTTGCAGCATGACAGTATGATTTACCGTATATCGCGACTATATTATAATTCGTTCATATCATTAGTAAATGCAAGAAATGCAAAGAAATGAAAAAAAAGAATAAACACATATTTATATTACCTTCAACGTAAGCATAATGATTGAAATATTCTACAAGATTTTCAATCCAAGCTAATAAACAGGCGAAACAAGCAGCAACAAATCCACACGCATCATCATTACTGTTCGCAACGCTACGAAGGATAGCTTTTATAGTATTAAGAATCGCAATAATCAAACTACCGAAACAGATACTACCGAATGAAGTAGTACAAGCACGTTTTAGTGCGCTTAAGGTTGGGGAGTTGCCTACACCTTGAGCGGTGCCATCGAGGAAATAATAAGTAGCAAATACTCCAGAATCGGTAACATGAACAACAGTTTTTATAACCTGACTAGTCCAATAGAAATTGAATACTAAAAATAACAAGACAATATATAAATACGGATCTTTACAATTAAATCCACGTATTCCTTTATTGTTTGGTGTTGTTTCTTCACATCCGCTCGATTCAAAAAATTTATCGAATCTAAAAAAAAAAAAAAAAAATACAATGTCAACAAATCAACAAATAAGATAATGTTAAGATAATTAAAAAAAAAACTTACGCTCCAATTACAGTCAATGCCCACCAAATTGACCATCCTACTTGAACTATTAAACCTGCAAACCCCATTATTATCGTACCATAGTATTTTTTTGTAAGCGTAGTAATGGTTTCTAACAAAATAGCTGCAAATGGAATTCTATCACGCCATGTAAAAGCACAAATCAAATAAATTACTCCAAAAATTGCAAACATAACCGCCTAGATAATAAATAATTTTTCTTTATCCAAAAGGTTATCCTGAAAAACAAATGTGTAAAATTTAAAATATTTTGCTTACCAATATGATTTGTCCAACATAACCATAAATAGCAGCAGCAATAAAATAAGTTGCAATTGAGAGATATAAAGTGATTTTTATAAGAGGTTTTGGGAATTTTTGCATTAAAGCCATGTATAGTAAACTTAAAAAAAATCCGAAAATTCCCGCAACTACAAGTAATACTATGCTATTAGTATCCAATTTAATACCCTTAATAATATCATTATCGTCATCGGCGGGATTTGAGTTTGACAATTTATTTTTGTTTAATATCGTCTTTATTCCAACATAGCTTAATGCAAGAAACCCAACAAATTGAATGAGAAACAAAATGGTCGCCCATAAATCTAATAAATAGAAATATTTGGCTTTAATGATAAATGCATTCCAAGCGAATTTCAGTGTAAAAGCGGATAACTTACCTTGAAACCTTGGTTCTTTATTCCAGTTTTTTCCTACTGCGCTGTTTACATGACCTTGACCATTATTGTATCCATAGGTTGGAGGTTGACTCTGTTGACCATATTCACTACCATGAACAGGAGGGTATGTAGGCGCAGCAGGCGGAGGGTAATACTGCTGCTGTTGATACGGTTGTTGTGGATATGATTGTTGTGGTTGTTGATACTGTTGCGGATATGGTTGTTGAGGTGGAGAATAATTTTGACTCATTACTGCTATAATATCTATTACACGGTGAACAAAGAAGATGAATACGGTTATTTCCTTTTTTACCTCTAATAAAAACAGTGGCGTATAGGTAAAAGAAGACAAGTTTTTTTTTTCAAGTTTTAAGGCTTATTAATTTCAAGTTTTGAATTTTTAATTCGAATAGAAATGAAAAGAAAGTTGAAAGTAATATTATTTTTTATATTTTTAGTATTGTCCACAATCCGGGAAAGGTCGAGTGGTTCCACTATTAATATAATCAGAAAATCGGTACTGGTTTTTATTGGCTTTCATCGATCATCCCATAAGCTGTGGCTAAGACCTTAGCCCAGTTGGTAAAACAAATCCAATTTTAGTACTCAAAATAGTAGTTCATAGAGGTTTTAACAATTGCCAAGATTGTGGGTTGTTATTTTTAGTGTAATTAAAAAATTCGTAAATCCCCGTCCCTTTTCATGATAATAATATTTGGGAAACTGGCAATGTACCATTTAGATTTCAGTTCATCACTCCTGAGCGATAGACGAAATTGTGAATTAATCTGTTTGCATAATTATTATTTAATTAAAGTGGAAAAATCCATTTAATTTTACAAAAATAGCAAGGAGAATGAATATAATTATAGAAAACGCATGACGATTCTCATATTTTATTCATACCATTTTTCGAAATATCTAACCTCAAATGGTCTCAAATAACACAATTTTTATTTTCAAGTCAACCATATCCCATAACTCGTTAAACGTTTATCTTCTCGAGAAATGATTCCTAAACGATAATTATTGTGCAGATCTCAATGTTATACAAGAATTCATCTTGGAATGTTGTTGGTTCTTTCAAATGAGTCACATTCTTAGAATCTTGCAATTATTGGTAAATGTCAATGTTTTCTTCTCGGCAGTTATCTCATATCGACTTTTATTTGATGTCATTTTTCATGTACTTTCTGTCAACATTTTACCGCATTAATACTACTAATACATGTTACCCCTCCCCTGTTAAGGGGAGGGCCAGAAATTACGTCATTAAGATTTTAGAAATTTTGACACTTGTCATCATTCATTTTAAGAAATTTATAATTAACTTATATAAAATTTGTGGAACGTCATCATGTTTTCACTAATTTACCCTCCAGGCTGGTATATTTAACTATGTTATTTGTCATGTACTGAGGGAATGACAAATAAACATTACCATCCCAAAAAATTCTCTGTCTTCCAGATACTTAATAAAAATTGAATCATTACTGGTGTTATGCTGTTGATAAATCACCTAAGTCCTAACCCTAATTAATTTTAATTATACCAGCCAATCAAAGCATGAGATAAATTAGTAAACTCTGGCTTTTCTCTAATTATGGAAAAGAGATGACAATATTTCTTAGTAATGAAATATGTTATAAATTTAGCAATTTTTATAACCTGTCATCTGAATTAATAAAAGATTCATTAACATTTAAGAAAGTTGTTATGTTATTACTTTCTTTGTCTTTCGATTGAGTTGATGATCAACATTTATAGGAATTTCTTTTTTTGTAATATGTTAAAACATATTAAGTAATTCTGATTTTCAAAAAAAAAATTTATTGATTGAGTATAATGCTTTAAAATGGATATGTTATTGCAAATTTTGATGATTAAATATTAATATTATTATTATTTATTAATATAAATTTCAAAAGAATATATAGTTTATGATAATTATTTTTTAATAAATTGTGATGAGTTTGGCAATTTTCTTATATATATAGTTTGTTGAGATAATGTAAAACAATTAGAATAGCATTTATAATTTATTATCAATCTTTTAAGATCTTACTGAAAATACAAATCATAAGAATATTTTATTATAATCTTAAAGTAAAGATAATAATAAAAGCAAACATAATTTACTTCTATTAGTATAAAATAAGAGAAAGTAAATACAAGTAATAGGAAAATTTCTTTATTTATTACTAATTTTGATTTAAAAAAACAATGATCTGTATAATCTATCATATTTCAAATCCAAGAAAAATGATTCTATATATTACCTAGGTTTTTAAATGAGCAGTTTAGTAATAATTTTAAGATTAAAAAAATAATTTATTATAAGACTTATAACCATTCATATTCATGAAAAAAATGTTTTATTAGATTCTCCTTTCTCAATCAATTGATTTATTGCTTTTTTTAGCTTCAAATTAACTTTGACAAAGTCTCTTTTTCTTTGTAAAATAGTACAATTTAATGACTTAACCTCAGAATTAAGAATAGGTATACTATCAATAATATATGAAAAATCTGACCTTTTTGTTATACTATTAACTTTTGATTCAACCTTAATTCATAATTTTTATATGAATTACTGAATAATGATTTAGTAATAGGATTCAAAAAATAATAATAATATTCATTTTCTGAATTTTTATTTTTTGTGATAATAGTTCAAATGATAAAAATTTATTCTTACTAGAATATATCAAAAAAATATTTGGTTTTTTCAATATTTTTGGATTTTTTGCAACTTATTTATTATTAAAAATGAGTAGCAACTTTGCTCAACTCTAACCATTTCTCTTAAAATTACTTTTAAATTCTAAAACATAAAAATTTGTTACTTTAAGCAATAATAATGAAAGTAAAAAAGTAAAACAGATTTGTTAACCTTGAATATATTTGTATCAATAATTTTTTTTACTCTTCATATTGTTAAATGAAATAACTTTCGACCTAATGATTACATTTTAATAGAAATACGATCATTAGAACTGTCTCATCAAGAGCTTTCCAACAAATATAAATATAAAATTATTAGAATAATAGAAGCGGAGATAATTTGAAAAAAATGATTGCTATTATAATTTTGCAGATCACTACTAAAGAAAGCCGTAATTTCTTAAGCCGCAGCCTAACGATCAAAACGACTGAAACCTCGGAAATGATAATAACGTTGTTAACTAAGTTAACATAGTTAATTAAGTTTAATTAGTTTCTTATGTTTATTTAGTTAA